CTACTCCGTTCATTGCTTGGTAGGGGTGTGCAAAATTACCCGACCTGGTTGACCCGACCCGCCGACCCGGATATAAAAAAACCGGGTAATTCTCTAAAAAAAATTACCCGGCCGGGTCGGGTACCCGGCCCGACATTTCCCGGGTCAGGCCCGGGTCACAAAATATAGTTTTTCCGGGTACCCGGTTACCCGAGTACCCGGTTAGTTTTTATTTTTTTTTTATTTTTTATATATAATGAATTATTTATATTATGGATTATTATATTTTATATTTCGAACTTTTAAATTTTATGTTCGGATATTAGAGTATGTAATTCGAAGTTTCGAACATTTAAATTTGTGTATATATTTTTTTAAATTAATAATTTGAAAATAAAAAATTAAAAATCGGGTATCGGGTACCCGATTACCAGGTACCCGCAAAATCCGGGTACCCGATTACCGGGTACCCGTAACATCCGGGTCGGGACACGGGCCGAAAAATCGTCGACCCGGAAGTTCCGGGTACCCGGAAATCGGGTACCCAAAAATCCGGGTACCCGGATTTGCACACCCCTATTGCTTGGTCCAAATCAGAACTTTTTGTTGTTCATTGTTAAGTCGATAAACTTACAATTGAAGATAAATTCATTGAACTACAAACTTCCATACGCAGTATTGATACAACCACTACGATCACTCCTATCTCTTATTGCATTGAAGACCTCTCCCACTAACCATTTACACGAATCAATAACTCTTAATGCCAATAATTCTCTCAATAGATTTAATTGATCTGACACAAAATTTGGGGCACACATACAAGTAAAAGACATCTTCGTACCTTTTGGAGACCAGAAACCTTTCAAATACAAGAATCGGGAATTGGAGATTAACTCCTTCACATTGAATATCATTTTTTTCCAAACCACTACAATTCCCCCTGATCTTCCTTCAGAGGTTGATTCTTTGAATTCAATATCGTCATCGATCCATAAATTTCGGATATCAAATTCGTCAATCGTGTCCTTCTTAGTTTCATGTAACAGGGCCATCTCTACTTTTTAATTTCTATGGTATTCTATGGATTTAAGGAAAAGAAAGGAAAACTTAGTATCGTTGTTCGTGGACAACTTACCTTCGGAGTTGCATTGGAAGGGTTTATGGTAGATCTTTGGAAGACAAGAAGATGTTCATAACGTATACATTGCACACAGGAAGAGTACAGGGACGAAATTTGCCTTTGTAAGAACGAGAATAGGAAATGAGGCATTGAGAATGATCAAGAGATTGAATGGCCTTCAGGTATTCGGCTACAAAATGTCGGTGATGTTCATAAGAAACATAAACAGGACCTCCCTTAGAGCAAGTAAAGCATGGAATACAGTGTGGAAACCAAAAAATGTGGAGAGAATCATTCCTGATAAGGGGTGGGAATTTGAGCCGAGTCAGTTAAATCTAGATGCTCAGAAGTCAGAACTCCGGGATGGGAGGCAAGAGTTCCTGAATCCCCTAGAGAGTGAGAAAAGGAAAAGTATAATAGGGCTCGTAGGAGATTCAGATTTATGGAAGGAAAGGAAATTCTTAATTGGTGAAATGGTTACTGTTTGTAGTGTGAGTAGCATCGAATATAGATTACAAGAGTGGGGGCTGGGAGAAATCAAGGTGCAAAGACAGAGGAAAATCCTTCCTTCTTGTTATTGAGAATGAGGATCTATTTATTTTATTGAAAGATCTACAATGGTCTTACCTCAAAGAGATATTCGCTGAGTTCAGATTATGGAATGAAGAGGTGTCAGAGATTCCTCTTTATTGCTGGAACAATTACAACATCACTATGAAAAGGGTTGCTGAGTTCTGATGTGATGTCGTTGTCGAAGCAATCCTCATCGGGATGCTACTTGAACAAAACACCGACGAATTCCCAATCGGTGGAAGATAGAGAGAAAGGTGTAGGCTCTCAAAAGAATAAAACATTAAATGATACGACCATGGGAAAGGAATGTACGACATGCGTGTTTAATGACAATAAAAAGCTGGAAATCGAAGGAGATAGAATCATTATGGAAACGGGTTCAGATGCTTCTGATTCTAAAACTGTTCCACACGTGCAAGATCTAGTAGGTTCAAAAAGTGAGTAGGCGAAGATGAATGTGATGAGTAAAAAAGAAACACGTGAAGTTTGAAAGCCAAAAGATAGAAGTAAGATTGAAGGGCCTAGTGTCACTAATATGTCGAGGGCTCTGATGGATTTGAACCCAGAAAGATGAGAGTAGATTGGATCAAGAAGAAGGCAAATATTATTAGGTGTCAGATAGTGATGAGTTTCTGAATCCAAGACCTGTGGAACCTCCAAACCTAAAGGAGTCGCATGCAAGTAAAAAAGAGTCAGAAGGGCGTGAAAATGAATTGTTTCCAGAACTCCTACAGATCGCAATTATACAGAGCCAAATTCTTTCAGTCTCGAGTAGAAGAAAAAGGGTCCAAGCACTCAAAAAGAATAAACTGAAGTCTAAAGACCTGGAGTATTCAGAACTTTTAGGAAGATCGGTATCTGATTCAAATATAAACAGAAGATGGAGGGTGGGATTTAAAGAAAGCGAAAGAACCTTGGAGTTGGGTAAAAGTATAGGAATTCAAGTCACTGGAGAGGAGCTTCCTGTTGTTAAGGATTTTGGCGCTTTTAGACCGATTTTTTTTAATTAATCATTGGTATCCGATATATTAACCGACTAATCCAGATCGGATACTGCAAAGACGAGAGTGATCATCAAAACCCAGTTTACTACATTCGTAAACGCCATAATCAAATCCCTGACCTTATTTAAGAGACCTAGTGTTTTATCCCACTAAATCAACTTGTTATTGGTTGACAAAGATTTCTTTTTGAAATGTAAGGTAGATGATTGTGGTGGGTCAATAACCTTCTTTAAATGAAGATACTTACTTGGAATATAAGAGTATTAGCGGTGGATGCAAAATCCTTATCGTATTAACTTTCCCTTCTAATATCCAATATCACTTTTGTAATATCTGATTTTCATTTGACCTATCCTTTTTCAACGCAATTTTCCTATCCTTTTTCAAAGCTCAAATATTTTATTAAAGTTGATTTAGAAACTTGAGGCATCAACAGACTTACAATGAATTTTCAAACAGATCTATGTATTTTTAGGGGAAGATATCTATTTAAAACTTGAGGCATCAACAGACTTGCAATGAATTTTCAAACAGATCTATGTATTTTTAGGGGAAGATATCTATTTAAAACTTGAATGAATTTTAATTACCTTACCAACACATTTTAAAACTTATCAATCTGATATTAGGAACTCAAAATATACTTATTTTAACAATGACACAACGTGTAGAAAATTGAACACAAGTCCAATTCAAAATTTTTGATTTATTACATATTTTTAATTATTTTATTTATTATTTATAATTAAATTCAACATTGGGTTTAGGGCTTAAATGAGACAAGACAGATCGTGAGCTACTCGAGATCGATTCGATCAAGGCTCGATAAATACTCGGATCGAATGGACTCGACTCGAGCTCGAGCTCGACTCGAGTTCTTAACGAGATGAAACGAGCTACTCGATATTCGACTCCAAAAGCTCGTGAGCAGCTCGAAAAAAATGTTATATTATAATTTTAGATTTTTTAAAATTACATTATTAAAAATATATTAAAAATATATTAAAAATACATTATTGATAATTATAAAATTTTAAAAATATATTAAAAATTATATAATACAACTACCCTCAAATTTTAATTTTTTTTAATTAACCAGCCCAAGTCCAATTGTTACATTGCATATTACTAAAAGAAAAATAAAAGCCCATTTAATTAACCATATGTTAGATTACACGTATTTGGTTGATTTTTTTTTCTTTTTTAACTTTTTACTGCACATGTACTTGACAACGTAGAAAAATAAAATAAAAAATAAGAAAAAACAGCCAAACAATATAAAAATTGAAAATGGTTAAAAATTGTTTTTGAATAAATATTCTTATATTTATTTTAAATTATTAAAAAATTATTTATCTAAAGACAAATATTTAATATATTTCTAATGATAATATTTTAATAAATAATTTTTAAATTGTTGTTATATTTTGAGGTTTTAGGTTCAATTATCATAAATATCAAGGGTTTGAATATTTAATATCAATATACTATATTGTACTTACCTCATAACTAATTTTTTATTTGACAATAAATATAATATAATATAATAAAATAAAAATATGATTCAATTTAAATATTAATAATTTAAAAAAATATCAAAATAGAGTGTAACCGATTTTATAAAGAATTAAGAAAAAAAAAACTCATTTAGACTTATATTAATATCTTAATTAATAAAATTAATGACACCAAATCATATTTGAGAGAAAATGATCATCCCTACTACTAACCTGTTCAATATAAAGTAAAACAAGACATATATATGCTTTACTAGATTCTACTCTGAAAAAAGTAATAATTATAGAGTTGGAAAATCAAAGTAGTAAATAAAGAGGAGACTGAGAAGAGAAGAGGAGTAGAAATAAAAAAGACTAAAGCTTCTTATTAGATTTTTGTTCTTCAGAAAGCAAAACAAAAACAAGTCTACTCTCTCTCTTTTCCCTAAGTCATCTCATTCCCTCTAATTATGTGATAGGGTTTAGGGTTCATAAATTTAACTAAGGACTAAATTTAAATAAAGTGAAAATTAAATACACAAATCAAGAGTTAAAATAGGGTTTAAAATAAAAAGCACACATAAATATAAGGGACTTAAACTTAAATAACCCAAAAATTACAACTAAAACTAAAATTGGGAAAATAATAAAATCGGGAAAAATATAAATGGATAAATTAAAAAAAAGTCCTTACTTTACTAGTGACTAAAGTATAAATATACGGCTAAGTTTAGGGGTATGAGAGTTATTTACCCTACATTTAATATATAAAAATCTAATTATAAACTAAACCTAATATTAACTAAAACTATCCTCGTCAGCCGTTTTGCTCTCTCCCTCTGTTCTTTTCTTCTTCTTCCCACAACCGAGAGCCTCAAAGGCTAATCACATCGCCACTCGCACCATCGGCCACCATGACCGACGCTTGACCACCGCCCCAATGGCCTCCATATGCGAATGAAAACAACCCTTATGAAGCCTTAAGTTGCGGCCTTTCTCTTAACCTTTCTCTTTGGCCGAGACCTCATCTACTCTCCACTCACACAAATGACGATTGTACACCAAGATCCCACAACTCGTCGATAACGAATATTGTGAAGGTAAGTATCACTCAAACCTTTCATTTTCTTCTTCAACCGAAAGTTTTGAAATCCTCTACACCGTTTCTCTCCTCTCTACTCTGGTGAAGATCCAAACACAACAAAGGTAAATAGATCTTTCTCTCGTTTCTATTTCATTTTTATTTTAGAATCTGAACCGATGAACTAACCCCTAACTCCTATACAAGGTTTCTCGAGCAACCTTCAATGCTTCGATCTCAAGCCTGGTGTCTCAAATCGGTAAGCTCCTAATCCCTATTTATTTCTGTTTTTATACTTGAAATCTCGATGGATGAAGACTAAACCAAAAAATCGATGTGCAAGAATTAGAAGAAAAAAAAACTCACATCATTCTTCTGTTTGTATTAATAATAATAATAATAATAATAATAAATATTTATAATATTTTTCAAGCCTGGTCAAAAACGGGTGTCTTTCTTTTGCACTTTGATGAATCCTTGAAAAGAAGAATGTGATGCATTTTCTGGGTTTTATGACTTGATTCATAAGTATAACTTAGTATACGATAATACGAATGCTAGCCAAATTCAGTTTTCATATGTTTATTTCTTTTATATAATTTCTACCAGCAGGATCCAGCTGTGAGAGGGAAGGCATCTAGTCAGTCTAAATTTAGAGTCCTATTTTCGAAGGTAAAGGAAACCCATGTTTACATAGTTTCTACTTTCTAGGGAATATGTCAAGGATTTGCAATCTATGTTGTTGAAGGTAAATTCTATAGTGAGATTGTGGTGATCAACCTAGAAACAAAATTCTTTTTCTGATGCTGATAGGTTTAGCAGTTAACTTGGGTGTGTCGAGGTTTAGGATGAATAACTTCAGAAAGAATAGGTTGCTTGCTATATTGTTGTGATTTGGTCATCTCGAATTTGGCCTTTTAGCATTGCTCCAACATTGGGAAAACTGGAAAGTTTTCTTATAATAAATACTTGCTTCTTGAATATGTACCATGAATAAATTTTCAAAATGTTCCAAGCGCTCCACCCACATCAAACTCAAGGCTTTCACCACTACCTCCAGAACATGCTGGTTTCAATTACGGTCGTGAGGCAGCAATCGACATTATTCTGGATACAGCTTCAGGAGGACACTAGTTTTTTATTTCATTTGTTTTATTATTATTTTGTTTTAATATTATTATTATATTATAATATTTTAATTTTTTATTTTTTATTATTATTAATTTTATTATATTACAGGCCCAAATTACAAACCAGACCGGAGGCCCAATTACAACCCATACTAGCCTAGACCCAACAAACCCAACTTGGTCCAGGCCCAGTTACAAATAGAAACCCTAAATTGATTAGGGTTTGTATCACAAGCTTCTAGCCGTCGTCGTTCGTGAAGACCCCAGCCGTTTCCAGATGCTTCCAGCCGCCTCTGATGATTCTAGGTGTCTCCTCTCGCCATTGTCGACGGTCAGCCGCCCCACGTCGACGCTTCAACTGCCAGGTGACCCAATCCGCTGCAACCACGACGACGCCGACTCGATGAAACTTCCAGAAGAGCCAGTTGCCCCTCCAACTCGCAGCTACCAAGGTGAGTCACCACATAGCCCGGTGACTCACCGAGAAGCCCCTCTGTGACCGGTCCATACCGAGCACCATGGTGGCTATAAAAGCCACCACCACCTGCAAAATAAAAACAAAAGAGACAACATCTGAAAACACAGACTGAAACAGAAAAGACGGCGAGCAGTAGCCAAAAAAAGAGAGATACAGAGAGTAACCACAACAACCAGTAGACAACAGAAATCAAAAGAAGAGAGAGGAGAGAAACTTACCTAGGAAACCATAGCCATCGGAGCCTCCTTGTATTGTCGGAAAGCCGAAAGTCGAAGGTAAAAAAAACTTAGATCTAGGTCGATTTAAGGGGATTTAGGGTAAAAGGAGGCCAGATTTGGCCTTTAGGAGTTGAGATCTTTAATTTGGTGTAGTTTGGTAATCTCCGACCACCGGAGACGGCGGCCGGCGGTGACGATCGGCGCCGGAAACAGTGACCAACGGTGGTCGATTTTCTCCTCAGTTGAGAGAAAACGAGAGCTTGCAAAATAGAAAATGAGAGAAAAATGGCCAAGGGGCCAGTTTAAAGGGTATTAATACCTGTGTAATTTCGCTCGTGGAAATACCCTTTCCGCAATCACTCCAAGTTTGTAATATTACAAATTAGTCATTGAATTCAATTTTAATAAGTTTTAATTCGGTTTTCTAACCGTATTAATTTATAATTTAGTCCATATCAGTATTTATATATTTTAGGATAAATAATAGATTTAGTCCTTGTAATTTTGTTAATTAATATTTTAATCCTGAACAGTATGTTCTAATTTATTTAATTTGATGTTAAAATTTTATATAATTTTATTTTAGTCACTAAATTAATAAATGGGCAAAATAGCATGTTTAATCCCTGTAATTTTAAATAATTAATTACAAATTAGGTATTTAATTTTATTAGATTATAATTTAGTCCCTAAGTTTAATATTTTCATTTATTTTACAAGCTTTATTACTTTTTATTTCATACCATGTTTTAATTTTATTTTAAACATTGTTTAATCATATGTTACTTTTATATATTTATGTTCATATATATTTAATTATCATTACTATTACTATTATTATTTATTAATTATGTCAATATATATAGTCTTATAAATATATATAATATTTATTTATTTATTCTATTTTCCTATTTATAAATTTAATTTTATAAATTGCTTTTAAGAAAAATAATCATATTTTTGATATTTATTTATTTTTAATATCGAAGAAAAGAGTTGTCTTAATGCACCTAGAAGCCCTTTTCTGATATTTTTAAATAAATAAATATCTTATTAAAATAAATTTTTATTTTAAGAAAATGTTTTGGTTATTTATTTATTTTTCAATATTAAAGAAAAGAGTTGTTTTAAGGTACCTAGAAGCTCTTTTCTGATATTTTTGAATAAATAAATATCTTACTATATTAAAATAAAATGTTTTTGATATTTATTTATTTTTTAATATCAAAGAAAAGAGCTGTCTTAAAGCACCTAGAAGCCCTTTTTTGATATTTCTAAATAAGTAAATATCTTATTTATGTATATTAATATATTTTCTTAAAATTATTTGAAATAATAGGATTATAAATTAAATATATTTTTAATTTTTAATTTCTAATAATAGAGATAATTTATCATTAAAAAGTACCAATTTTGGGCGTTGTAGGGGTGCTAATCATTCCCTAAACGTAACCGATCACGAATCCCTTTTTATTATTAAAAAGAATGAATTTTTGGTTAAAACGCAGATCAGTTTATCTTTTAATCGATGTTTTCTTAAAAACTCTTTTAAAATATTATTTTTAGGTATTCGACCTACCTGACCCAAAAGGCCGATGGCGACTCCATAAATATTTTTTTAAAAAATCAAAATCATTAATTTATACACATCACTTTTCCCGTCAAGTAAAAATTTCGCGCCCGGACAAAAAACGGTTACGACAGCTTGGCGACTCCGCTGGGGACTGTCAAACTTTAAAATAAATTATAAATTGTCTCTATTAATTAAAAATTAAAAAATTATATATTTAATTTTTAATTATTTCTTTTCAAAATTTTTATATATACTTATTATTTTCATAATATTTATATGTATATTATTTTATTAATGTTTCATTTTATTTTTCAAGTATTTTATTTCATTATTTATCTGTCAGAGGTTTGAACATTTCTCCTCACACACAACACTTGCATTGCATAACATAAGCTTTCTAATCAAGCTTGTCCCTTTTAAGTGGGAGTGAAAGCGACGTCTTTGTGAGAATTTATTCTCCGTGTCAGACCTAGCAAATAACTTTCGGGGTTCATATGCTCTATGTCTTCGTGAGAATTTATTCTCCGTGTCAGGCATAAAGAAATGTGTCCCCTCGAATTGAACTCGGTCTGCTTAAGTCTGTAGTGGACTAGGATTGAGGGTTGGCAGCCCAAGGGGGCATCAACAAGGAAAATTCGAGTACCTTTACTCCTAGAACTGAAACTCTACATATAATAAACCCTAGAAATTCACCTGATCTAAGACAGTACTGAACCTCTGTCCATAGGTGTACACAAAAAATAAGCTCTAGCTTTTAATTTATTTAATTTATTATTTTTCTCTCTGAATAAATGCATGTGAACTAGAAATCATGCAGTTAGGTTAATTTTTCCAAACAAAGCATGGAACTAGAAAGCATGAAGTTAGGATATATTATATACCATGATAGGTAGAATATTTTCTTTTTATTAATTACTTACCAATTTATTTATTTTCTTTCTCATCTTTATTTTTCATTCATTTTGTTTTGTTTTAACTTGTTTATATTGATTTCTTTTGTTTTGTGCCTGCATTACATGATCATGGCATAATCAAAAGGTGTTGACTTGAAAGACTGTTCATCAAATTGGAAAGAAATCGTAAATAGACAAAAAGTTTTATGATCAAACAAAATATGATGCGGCCAAGGAAAGACATCCTGAAGAAACTACGAGGATTGAGGGAAGTTATGTACATAGAGAACCGGTTATATTAATACCAAAAGTATTACACAAAGATCCTACCAGATTGATACCAAAAGCAGTCTACAGTAAGAGTATCAGTCAGGACATTCAGAGTAGTGGAGGTTTTTATGAAGTTCAAACATGTTATTTGAAGGACTTGAACGACCAAAACAAGAAATTGAGCACATAAATAAAAACCATGCATGAAGATTTTCAGAGGATCAGTCAAGCCTTTCAAAATGTTGGCCTAGGAAGTACCCCAGAAGAGTGGATAACAGGGGTCACCAAGCTGAAAAAGAACTGCAACTTATATGAAGATCTTGTTCAAGAACTTCTTGGACAGAAAGGTTCTCTTACAAGGGAAAATAAGCAACTCCAAGAATTGATACAGAAGATGAAAGAGAATGTCATGGAAGAAGCTGCAGTCCAGACAAGCAATATGACCCAAAAGCTGATAGACCAACCTGATTTTACGAATAATTGAAGCAGACTGATAATTCAACTATTGAGCATAAATGGAAATTAACTTGGCTTTAGAGAAGTTAGGACTGAAAAATGTCCCATACATGTAAAAGTTTTGTTTGATGTACCGAAACTTTTATGTTCAATGAAATCTGTTCTAAGATGATCACTCTTGAGTAACACCTTTTCATACATACATTTGCATTTTGCATCTTTGCATTTTTCATTTTTGCATTTATACTTTTATGTTTGCTTTTGTATTGCACAATTTGCATTTTTATTGTTACATTCACATATTTACATTTGAATTTACATTTACATTTTTACGTTTGTATTTACATTTTCATTTTTACATAATTACATTTGGTTTTAAATTATTTTACATACATTTAAACATGAAAACATGAGAGTAATTCGTGGAGGATTCCATGACAGAATTTCTGAAATCAAAGTGGAGCTAACTTGGTCTTCCTAAACAAGGATAAGAACCATGAATGAGATTTTAGCAAGGGTTGAGAAACTACAAGAGCAACTTATCAAGACTCAACAAGAGATGATTGATCAAGTAAAAAAATCCCATAATGATTCAAAAGAGCAAATGACAAAACTGATGGACCTGATAAATGTTGTATTCCATGGAGAGAAACCCTTAAAGGATCCCGCTGTGAAGGCTGTGAATAAGGTTCTGAATGATAATGATGAGTTCGATGTGATAGTGTCTGATGATCAAGAACCTATTAGAGAGCATGGTAATTCAACACAGATTCAAGATTTGGTCCCAAGGGGCAATCTAAGGAGTCTGGGGAACACTACCCCAATTATAGCTGAAATGAGCACCCAGAACCCCCTCGATAACATGAGAGCATTCAGTCGTTCAGAACGATCAAAGAAGGTGATAGCCTCACGAGCGAGAAAAACTCTGAAGGTGTTTCAAGAATCTATCTCAGACCTGTACCCTCATTTGGTTAAAGGTTAATATATTACACCAAGATTGGTGAAGGTGTCACCAAAGCCTTAGGCCCATTGCTATGATCAAAATAGCTTCTGTAATTTTCACTTGGGGGTATCTGGACATTCAACAGGGAATTGTTGGTCACTGTTAAAGGAAATAGAGACGCTCGTTGACAAGGGAGTCTTGACACAAGAAATGATCAAGAAATGGGGGGCAAATAAGGATAAAAATCCTGGGCTAAGTACACATCCAACATTAGAGGAGTAATGATGCATAAAAAAGTGGAAGTGTTATCTACCACTGTAGTACTTTCTATTTTCAGCATCTTGTTTGAACTTGTTTTTTGTTTCTTTTCTCCGCTTTTGTGCAATAAATAAATGTGTGTTGCTTTTATGGTTATGAGCAAGGAATTAAATTTTAATCTTGAATTTTTTTAGTATCAAGTAGATTAAGTATTCTTTTCAAGAATTATAGATCTCTGGCAAGTGGTAAAATTATATCTTCCATATCCTATCCAACGCCAATTACTTGATCCTTACAAAAAAACCAAATCCCGACACTACATTTAGCTGAGATTCTGAAGAAATATCTCTACCTGTTTTGAGACACCAACTCCAGATATTTACTGGTTTATGATATTACCCCTTCCACCATATATATAACCTCAAAAGTCACACATTTGACCTTCCAAATACAAAACCATACAAAAAAAAAACACCTCAAAAGAACCAAACTTTCAATTATCTGGGAATCTTCCTGTAAAAAAAGAGACAAGATGAGGCATTATGGATCAACTTATCGAATATAATTTCGAGTGATTGGGGTATACTCAAAGAAAAGAAAAAGAAAAAGATGGATTGATTTGAATAAATATGTCATGCATTAATTACATTTTCATGTAAATAAAGATTAATATTGAATATTCATCCATCTGGGGATAATTCTTTTTACAAAGGATTCTGTGTATGAGATGACGAATGGCATTGTTTCATTTATCCTTTCAAATATATGTATATATATATCCCTTGTTGTCCCCTTTTGAGCCTATAATATTTTTTCTGATTCAACCTTAACCAAGGATCACTCTCCACATTGGGGGGCAAGAAGAAGGATATTTGCTCACAGGAATAAAGATTGTCAATTACAAAGGTAAAT